CCACAGTATGTCGCGCTCTTGGTAGAATCCAATGTGCCAAGTCACTTGAACACCTCCCGTGAAAGTATCTATAGAAGAGAGACAAATCTATATATAGAAGTGGATAATCTTAGCGACTGGAGAAATGTATGGTAAAATAGATTAACAGGGTCTCTCAGTCAAAAAATCAAAAATCAAACTCTGCTTTACTTTGCCAAGCTTTCGCTTGGCAAATTGAACTTATAAATTGACGAGTTTTGTAAACTGTAAGAAACCTCCAAGAAAAGTATTTTCAATAGCCTGGTAGCCGGGAGGTTCGACGTGGGTGCTTTGTTTACTCAGTCAATCGGCCGATGTGTGAGTCTGCCGCAGGCAGAACGCTCGCTTCTCACTCGCTATCGCCCAACCCGTGTTAGGAATCACACGTTAAAAGGTAAGACCTTGTTCGTCCTTAACTCGCACTTCTGCGGGTTGTTGTTCGTAGGGGTGCGATAGCTGGTTAACGGATAAAACACATTTCAAACATATTTTTCAAACATATAATACGTTTATCAGTGATTTTCATTCGCTATTGACCAATTCCATTTCAGATGATTTTGGAAGAATTCTCTTCATCTTTGTGTATATATCAATATGACCTATTTGAAATGGAGAGTATTTTATCAACCGGCATGATGTCTCACACTGCGATGAAATAGAATACAGAATTAATCACCTCGTATGAATTAACGAGATGCATAAGAATTTTTTGTTTACTATATGTTTTAATTCCCATGTAAACCATTCCATTGAAGAATATCCGTCAAACAGTTGCGACACAGCTGTTCTAATTTCAGTCATCAAGTGAACAAGCCTTTTATTGTCACAACTATTGAAACTATTATACAGGGGTTAGCAAGCGACCGTTTACTGACATGCTATATTGTGTTCAGCGATAGATTCAACACGTTTTTCGAAAGTTGGTGTCTGAAAGGTTCTGTGAAATATGGACGTAAGTTGACCTGGGCTGTGCACATGTTTAAGTTTGCCGAGTACACTATAAGTAACGCACTATATTGGTTTGGTGACATTTTTTCAGTGAATGTTGTAAATGAATGGAAATATTACATTGGTTCAGCATTGCTCGGATTATTCTTTCAGAAATATCAGTGTCGAAACCAAGTTTTTTTATTTCTGTAGTCACCTTGAAAATAAAAAAGAGTAGATATAAAAAGTAACAACTTAAGAGCTCCTTAATGAATAAAGATAAAAAATATGGGTAACTCAGTTGAAAGATATCGTTAAAATATTCATCCAAAGTATAATAGGGTCTATCAATGATCCTAATAGCATACTTCTGTATACAAAACACACGAGACACGGTAGACGATGTGCCCTAGTTAAAGATGCCATATCTAAGATGCGAATTGAAGTTTGCATAATAGGCAGTCAATAAAATACTTTGGCCACAATGGTGGGGGAGAAACCTAAGGAAATAACAGGCTTTTCAAAGTTTCATATCAATATGTGTCCTCCATTGTAGTTTGTCATCAAAAACAACACCCAACAACCAACTTAGTTAGGTTCGGTTAGGTCTGAAGTGAGTCGGTCTATTCGACCCTCCACCGCAACCCCCAAGGGTTTATTGTGGCTCACACCTATTCACACTCGACCAAATAAACCCAGAGATAGACCAGAGACAATCTGTCTTTCTATTGAGGAGAGTCGTTTTTGGCAATTTGCTACCAATTCAGACGTTGCTCGGTTGGAGCCAAGAGCTTCCAAAGCCACTTGACCGTCCCAGAATATTTTTATTGACTTGTGTATGAGGTTGGATTCTATCGATCTCTCCACACACAATTCAGTAGCATAGATTTCCGCTTGAAATACAGTCGCATAGGTTCCTAGACAGGTTGATATCTCTGTCCTGGGTCTGCTATTGAAAATACCTGCACCAGAACCTGAAGGTGTTTTTGATCCATCTGTGAACCAGCACCTATCTGCTCTTAATATTTCCTTCTCCCTGACTTAGTTAGGTTTAATTCCAAAACAATGCATGTTCAGCGACTGCAGACTTCTTGGTCTTCCTTCCTGTTTTTTGGGTATATAATCTTCCACAACATGAAAAACAAACATATCTGCCGAATCTGCTGAAGTGTAATCAAATGCAGATGTGAAGAAAGGGGTTCCGCAGGGTTCTATTTTGGGCCCTACTTTATTTCTCATCTACGTCAACGATACTGTGTGCAAAATTCCCAATGTATCTTCTACTCTCTTTGCCAATGATACCAGTGGAATTTTTCATGACTTTGAAGTTCAATCCCCAATTAATTCATCACATAGAATGCTGAATGGTATAATAAGCTGGTTCAGTGCAAACAAACTTCTGAATGTATCTAAAACGCAGACCAAAGTATTGACCTACTTGTTGATGCTGAATCAATGAATACCTCAAACGCTTTTTTGGAACTCACCATTCACTATGATCCCACCTGGTCAGATCATACTGCTCAGTTGAACAATAAAGTAGCAAAGACGGTGTATTATGCTTACTTCCACAGCCTTTTGCAATTTGTAATTGACTTTTGGGGTTCTGTCGATTCAAATTCCCCCTCTATCATACAAAAACGAGCAATACAAACAATGTTTGCTCCTCCACGTAGAGAATCTTGCCGAAAATACTACGCAAATCATAAATTATTTATTCTGTACAATGAAGAATAGAGAATTGAAACTTTCTATGTTTTCTACCACTTTTAGTTGTAACTGCAGTTTCGTCCTATGAGAACATTTTCAAACTTTAATGTATAAGTCCTTATAGGACTTATTGCATCTGTAATTCGGAAGAATTACAGATGGAGACACCCTACATTTTGTTTTATGAGAGAGAGGACATTGGCAGATTAAGATCTTCAGATGATTTGGTGCTGCAGGTTTTTCCGGGTTTTCCTGCAGCTGAAAAAGCAAATGCGCGACTGAAATCAATGAAGTCGCCCCGGAGCGCCAATAGAGAAGTTCCAAGTTTGTAAAGTTTCTCTTTTTCGACAGATATAATTATATCAATTATTTCACGACTATCCGCCTTGGCTCGATCTAAATCTGGTATCCTTACTCGAACGTTTTGGCCTATTTCTGCAATAGGAAATTTTGCATTCGAACGCGCCAACATTTTTTCGGTTTGCTTATCAAGTGATTCTTTAGCTGAGTTACGAGCCTTCCTAATTTCGTATGATTTTACGTTGAGTAAAGATGCAGCTTTTTCATTATTAGAATTTTCCTTCTCATTGCTCACATTGGCAGAGGCTGTTGATCGGCTGCTTTCGGGTTCTCATTTATTATGCCCACACTCACAGTGGGGTTGCTGATTTTCTGGTAGACTATCGGTAGAATGTTGTTCCAGTTCAGAAGGCTGTTGATCATCTGGTCGAGGGTTTTCATTTATTAAGTCCACAGTAGGTTGCTGATTTTCTGGGTGAATAACATCAGATTGTTGTTCCAGTTTGGAACTGGGTTCGGGTTCAATCGTAACAGAAATAGAACCAGTAACAGCGGCTGAGTTTTCATCTATGTTATCGCTGTCTTCGTTTACGGCATCATTCGCTCTGTCCACAATTACGTTTTGACCTTCACCGAAATCACCATCTTTTCACATTGCCTCAAGGTCATCTTCACTTACTATCTCCGTTAACCCATCAAATGATAGCAAGACTGATTTTAAACCTACTTTGTGTTTGCAGCCAAACCTAGTTTCGTAAGGACTGCGATCGATGCCGGAGTGGTAAGCTCTATTTTTCACGAACTGCATGAATCTTATCCCTTCCGACCATTTTGTAGTTTCATTTGTCTCCAACCATGTAAATACCATCTTTTCTATATCCTGATTTGCTCATTCTACTGAATCTTGAGATTGGCTATGACGGAGTTTGCCGTGTACCAATTTATCACATTGCCCGGCTACAAGAGAATTATTCATAGTGCCCGGTCCAAGTGATAAATTCAAGCTATCTCAAACACTGACTTACATGGACCACGTCGGGAATTATTGATAATGGCCGGTCAAAGTGATAAATTAATGACTTTGCCCATCGCTCTTGGGCATTATCAATAATGGCCGGTACTTATTAATAATGCCCAGTTAATCACGTTGCCCGTAACATATATACTATAAATTCTGTATCTTTCTGTGAATACATATCTATCTATCTATCTAATCTATATGTATTGATTAATTGTGAACATCATACTAATGTAACGAATATAATGAAATGATAAATCAGAAGATTCTGACAATGGATAGTGGTGGTATGATGAGCCAAAAACAATATGTCTTACTGTCATCCCTCTCCTTTTTCAAGATTTGGCTAGGGTCATTGGTGCATATTTTTGAGGTACCCTGTAGATACTCTGATCCATTTTGATGATATATTATATGAATGATTTTCAGATAACGCCGCGAAAATTGGAGCATTCGTCTGCCAGATTTATTGAATGTGTACAAATCGTTGGTAGCATGACAGTACTCAGCTACTGTGTATACACAACTATACGCAAATACATACAGGGTTTGCCATAAATATTAACAAAGAGTTGAAAATTTATTGCGGCTGCTCGAATAGTATGAATGAACGGGCTTTTATTGTGTTTGCTGTTTTTATTATGACGAACAACTTACACTTTATGCTGTGAAGTGTCAGAGATCGGGTGGTACTTGAAACTGGGTGTCGAGAAGAGATTATAATTCATACGGTGATATTTACACTTATTTCCGTTTTGAATTCAAGTATAGTTTTTATCATCAAACATGTGACCTAACATCAGACAGTGATGTGGAGGTGCTAGGTTGTCCCAAAGAAACAAGCCTGACATCGTCTTCACTTCAATTTCAGTCCTGCAAATCAATCATTGCATATTGTTTCATAAGACTATACAAACCAAAAAAGTCACCTTATTTTTATGAAAAAACTTTATGTGGAAAACTTTAACAAGTACATGCTCTGAAATTTTGAAATGTTTCCGTGTGGTTAATTTATTTCCCTTTACAGTTGACGTAATAATATGGACTGGCGACAAACTTCTCATTGGTGACCAAAAACAATGAACTGTGGAGATCGCTATCAAGAGTTGTTACTTTATTTGGAACAAACTGAGGTGAGTCACTAGCCATTTAATTCTGTTTTGTTTGGGTTATTCATATTTCATAATTTACCAAATAAACCTTATTGTGCTGATTTATCTTCATTCTTGTTCTTCCATTTAGAGAACTTCAAGTATGGGAATAAAATAAACTTACCATGTTTGAAAACTATTGAAAGTGTACCAAATTTCCCTGCATATGTAAACAGAATCAACTTATGAATGATCGTTATTATTTATTCAGTTAGCTACAAGATTATAAAATAGATAAATAAACTTTACAATAACAAACATTTCTCTGCAGGCTCTATTTTGGACAAAAAATCTCATTGAAAAGGTCTTTGAAATGGCTACTTATAAGAGCTTTGCAGTGGTTCAGAGTAGGAACACTGATGAAACAGCACTATCCAAAAGCAATGTCAGGAAAATTGACAGGGCTAGTAGTTGTGATATACTGTTTGGAACCTTTGGTGTAGTAATGAATATTACTGGAGTGTTTTTCCCAACACCAAATCGTTATTTTTACACCTCGACACGTGTTTCGATCACCAAGTGATCATCTTCAAGAGGAAGATAAAACTAATAATTACTCAAAACTAAAGCTACTTATACTAATCAGGTACAACCACCCATACAAGTGTACCACCCTAAATTAATTTTACAATTGGCCTTTCTATTATTTACAATATGTCCTTATGTATGTTTAAATGTTACAGCTATATATAGAACAATTTTCAGCTATATAAAATTAGCTTCACAATATTGCCTATCTAAATATTTGGTATTACCAAATAGCATACTATATAGCTTGATAATGATTTGTATAATCTGGCAGTTGAATATATCTAGGACATGACTAACAGAATTAGAGGTATCGCACATTGTATGAATTGTGAGTTACAAGCAATTCATAATAGGGTATTCCTACCTACGTGCCTACAAGTTGAAAAAGACATATATTTTAGGAAGCGCCTCTATAGTGCTTCTAGTTGACTTATATGAACCTGATAGTAGGGACTCCACACGACAGATGCATATTCCAGCCTAGATCGAACAAAAGCGAAATAAAGTAATTTCAATGTTGAAGCTTTTTCGAAGTCTTTTGTATTTCTAACTAGGAATCCATACATGCGATAAGCTGCTGTTAGAATAGTGTCAATATGTTTATTGAAGGAGAGGGATGAATCAAAAGTAACACCTAGATCAGTGAGTGTGTCAGGACGCTCCAGAACTTGATTGTTTATAACGTAGTTGTGTAAATTCAAGTTCGTTTTCAGTGAGTAAGATATTACATTACATTTGGATATGTTGAGAGATAGATTATTCTTTCGACACCATGTAGCAACGCGAATTGAATTCAGGGCTAGACGTTCGCAATCATTAGAACATGTTATATGGTGATATAGAGTTTCAAGTCATCTACGTATAAAAGGAAATTGACATCAATCTCAGCTTCGATATCATTAATGAACATATTGAACAGTAGGGGTCCTAGAGTTTATCCTTGTGGTACACCAGATGTGGTTATATATTCGATAGACTTGAGGCCATTGAGTTGCACGTACTGCTTACGGTTGTAGAAATACGATGTGGAGAAGGTAAATAATTCATTGGATAACCCAAAAGTCGAAAGCTTGTTGAGCAGGATACTATAGTCAAGTCTGTCGAACGCTTTAGAAAAATCAGTGTAGATGACATCGGTCTGAGACTGACAATCAATACCCTCTGCAATACATTGAGTGGTTGTTACAAAATAGGTGGTGGTTGAACGTCCTTTCATGAAATTTGTTGAACTTCAAACGTTTATGCCTCTCACCAATAAACTAAACAGCTGAAACTGTGAACATATGTTCGAGACAAATGTACCAACATAATAAAATAAAAAATTGGTAATCGTTTGTAAATAGCCCGCGAAATTTGAATATTCATCTTATTTCATGAGCTATAATCAATCACCGAATGGACATAAGCGAAATAAAACATTTTGATATGGTTAATATTTATGTGATCCCTGAGATATCTTATGACACAACAAGCTGACGTTAATTTACCCATTACTGCTTTTATATATATTAATATGTAGTGGGGCTTCCGTACCGTTTCTGAAATGTATATAATGGGTTTTATTTTTATTGATTAAGAGACAGTTTACTTATGATGCACTGTTTGGAACCTTTGGTGTAGTAATGAATATCACTGGAGTTTTTCCCCAACACCAAATCGTTATTTTAAATGTTTAGCGAAGAAACCATGTTGAATGTCATAGAGTGAGGTCTTTAAACTATAAAATAGTGAATCATAAACTATGCTTTCAAATACCTTACTGAAAATAGAGAGTTTACTTATACCCCGATAGTTATTGACTAGATTTCTACTGCCTGAATTTTTATATATCGGGACGAGAAGAGCCGTTTTTCAAATCTTTGGGAAGATACCAGACTGAATAGATGTATTGAAAAGTTTACAGAGTGGGAGGCATAAACTGACTGCACTGTTTTTAACAAAATACGATGGATAGCCGTCGATTCCTGCACCTTTATTGATGTCTAATGTGTTCATTAGACGTCTTCGCAAAACAGCACAGTATCATCGGCGGAGTTGATGTCTTGCAGGGTAGTTAGACGGAAGCCACTGATTCTGAACTCAACAAATACCAATTATTATAATTATTCAGTAATGTCTAATGATAAAATATCAGCTACTGGGTAAAATATTTACATTTGATATTAAACAAATTATTTTTGGCTGTTATGCTAATAAATTCAGCCTTGGACCATCAGGTAGTTAGCAAATATTTATTGTCGTTAATTGAATAAAGTTTTTGATGTCACCTGACAATTTGCCGTCATTGGCATTGAAATATGATAGAAAATATGTACGTTTTTTGACACAGACTGTTGGACTCATTCTTAAAACCCAAATGATAAGTTAGTGGTCTTTAATATTTTGCACACATTTTGTAAAGAGGGTCAATATTTGTTTTCTCACCTTTTGCAGACAGCTGAGAACTGCGAACCTAGTTTCATATTCATAGAAAACGGGTCTAGTATATTTGCTTGCATTGGAGATATTGACATACGAGTATAACAATCGTCACACTGTTACAGTTACAATATAGATCATTTTCGCAGGTTTGCGAGGTTTTATGCAGGTATGCTGAAGTGAATAAGAATTATAATAAACGTCTTCATTGATTTAAATACGAATAAACATTTGTCTCTTCCCATACCACAAATAACTGGCCAATAAATAAATAACCAATGTGATCGAAGTGCAAGCAAAGGAGAAAATGTACAAAGTCCTTATCAATCTATGAGTTTCCCCGTATTTTAGTAATTCATTTGAAAAGACTCTCTCCAACGGGAAGATTCAGAGGCAAATTGAATGTTTCCATTGACTTTTCTTCAGATGGATTAGATATGAACAGTTATGCAGCAGACAATGTGGCTCCTTGTCGTTATAATCTATATGCACTTTCAAAACACAGTGGAACTACTTACAACGGACATTACACAGCATATTGCAGACACCCATATAGTGGCACGTGGAATGAATACAACGATTCACACGTGTTCCCAATTTCGACAAAATCACTTGTGAGCGATGAGGCATATGTCCTCTTTTATGAACAGGAGGGAACAAAGCAGCACCTTTGATGTGATTTTTTTTCTTCTTTCCTTTTTTTTATAATCTCAGTGCTTTGAATTGATTTGTATTTCATGATTGTTCCAAATTTCATTATTTATTGTAATATTCAATATTAACAAGGTTTGCGGAAGAAATATATTTATATCAGTCTGAAATTACAAAAAAAAAACATTAAAAGAAATTCTGAAACTGGTGGCGAAGTCTGGCAAGCTATTCTACACACATACATGGCTACTATGCCTGCATTTCCGGAATGATCCAGTGAAAAGCTAACTTACTATAGGGTTTTTCGACTTCCGACATTGACAATTGATGACAGCCATCTTGTTGTCAATTTAGTTGTCGAATAACTTTTTTCGAGATCAATTGCCCTAACACCAAACTGATATTTTTGCACTCGACGCGCGTTTCGCCAACAAAGTTAGCATCCTCAGGAGAAGAAAATTGATACCTAGTCTAGTGTGGTTAGTCCTTATATACTAAAATTTGTTACCTGAGGTTGTATACCTGAAGTCCAATATGGAAATTGGACTCCAAGAATGCCCATTATATTACCAGCAAAGAGAGGACAATAACATCCCAGAGAATATCACCCAGACCTTAGGAGAATGCAGCGCAGCCGAAAATGTGATGAACTTTTTGAAGCAAACCAATCTGTTTAACAAAATTTAGTACCGTTACACAATATCAATGTATTCACTATCAATATGAATGTCTTCAAAACTGTAATAGTTGAAAAAAATTGAGATTATTATTAGACTGTGTGAATATTCACCAAACAGAAACATTTTAGACGCTTTGACTTGGTTTAATGTTGGGAACACAAAAAAAGTAAACTTCCTGCTGATCTATGAAACTAAATACCTACAAGTTCCAATTTATACCTTAAAAGACGATCACAAGGATGTACAACCTTCAGCATTACAAAAAGCATTTATTAGGAGACTCACCTTTTCTATGCTGCCCTATCACAATCGTAATTGATTTTTGTAATGTATTCATAAGTATCGAATTGCTAAATGAAATATTTTTCTAGAACATTCTGTTACGCTGGATATTTCCCAGGCATTTGACCGTATGTAGCTTTTTTATGAAACTTCGATGTTACTCGAAGCTGAGCATCTTGAAGCTTTTTTTGATGACAACCAACGTAGATATTAATTCAGGATGTATAAACCTCTGAGGAAGTTAGTTACTAGCGCCACCGAAACGTCACGAAGAAATTAAAAAATCGACGGCCTTCAAACCAGAAAAAAAGTGACACTGAAAACCTCAACCATTTTCCACTGGATAGTTTTTTAAACCGTGTTCGTACTGACTGACATACTGAACACGTCTGGAGAGGCTATTGTATAGCGAAACACGTGTTCCGGTTTTGTAAACTATCCAATGGAAATCTCCCAATGAATTGTCACTTGGATAAATGTTTCCGTAGTGCTTCAAAAAACTGTGAAAGTGAATTTTCTTTCCATATCCCCCGCATCTCTGCCTCTGGTACCGTTCAACTGTAGCTCCCACGGTTCAGTGCATTTGTTGATTATTTCTTTCACTTCACTGGAAATGAATTCTAACTATTTCAAATCCAATCAATGAATTCTAACTGGCTTTAATTTAACATCGAGAACGACGAACTGTGCCCAATTTATCTGCACTTCTCAGTATCTGGAAAGTACTATGAAAATACCAATTATCTATTCAAAAAGTGACATCTGTTAATATTACTAATGAAATGTGTGAAAAAGTATGAAAGTATAATAGTAGGAGTGCTAGACTTTTCTCAAGATATCAGATGAAGTGAAGCTAATAACCTTAATGGCATGCAGCCAGATAATCTTTGATAAAGTACAACCAATTAATCTTTGAATTCTCCGTTGAGTGTATTTAATAATTATCGTATTATGAAGATTCATGTACAGGACAAGTCGGAAATGTCACTGTTATTCAGTCGTTTCTGAATTGGTAATTCATAAAACGAGTAGAGAATAATAAATTGGTCTGTTGAAATCAATCTACTGCACCTATAAAATATACAGGATGAGTCATTCAAAATATTTCCAGATATACAGGATGATTCAAAGCCCTGGAGGTGAAGTAACGTTTTTTGGTAAACAATTCAAGGTATCTTTGCTTCACATAAATCATTTTTACAGTTCAATATCACAACAAACTAAGTTCTTGAAAATGATATTCAGCCAAAAGTTGCTAAGCAGTATTCGTTGTGAAGAATAAAGTCTTTGCTTTTTCATATTTCGCTCACTTACATTTCAGAGGATTCTCAAGTTACCCTGTTTCCTTTTGCATTTGGTGTCACTTTTATCTTAGTGAGTATTCTCAAATTCATGTGATTGACAATATATCACGTTTATCTTTGGTATTTGTGGTTTTTACTCTCCTGTCGGTCCCATAGATAGCCTCTTCGTGGGAGATGTAAGGCTTGTCCTTTAAGAGCAATTCAGTACAGCAATGCATTCGTGGTAATGTAACCTATGGTCTGATGAGACCAATGGTCGATCGAAACAGTGCTATCTGTTCTTGGATCATGAATGCATTGTTGGGCTCTGGTTTCAACTAGTTACCATGTAGTGAATGATCCAGATAAACACAGAGGACGAATCTCCAAGCCAATGTTGGCTTCTGATCGCTTTTGGTATAGCCTCGTCTATCATTGACATTCATCTAATGATCCCATAGATGACGTCTTTGTAAGAGAAGATGCTGAATTTGAGGCCCAGGTGTTACATCAAATGGTTCATGGAGGTGGAAATTCAAACATAAAAGGAAATAAGCGGAGCTCATGTTCTGTATGGTTCATTAATTAGTGCTAGGATGGAGGTTGAGTCTTCTAACATTATACGTTGTATCTTGTTTTCAAAAGTTGTTCCTAACAATGTATTTTAACAAAAACGCAGGTCTTCACATTGCGAATTGTTCTGAAAGAATGTTCTACAATGGGGAATGTTTCTCCTGACGAAAATCAAGTAGTTTTCATAAAAGAGCTCTAAAACAACGCATTTTAAGCTTATCATTTCAACCCCGAGACATTCTGTGACATATGACATTTTGTGCACCTAACCTATCTTCCTCTATATAAATAAATAACAAAACAACTGTTGTTTATGTGGCTTGTGGAGGTGGAATTGAACTATAATTTATATTTTGCCTTAATTGTTGATGTATAAAGATAATTTTCCTTTTTTAAAGTAGAATATCTAGGTACGTATAAATTATTGGCATATTGGAACAGCGCCTTGATATAGGCGCTGTTGCCAATATGTGAATTAGAAATAAAACCCTTTTAAAATCAAAACCCAACATTTTAAACATCAATTTGAATACTTTTCGAAGTGAATTTGAAAAACTCATGAATTGAACTCAACTTTATTTTGTTCAAACTTGCATTTGCTGTAATAACCCAAATTGAGGAACATACACAGATGACGTTTTAAGGATGTACATTTGATAACATGATCAAACTTATTCATGAACTTTTATGAAATGAACTGAAAGAAAATTCAGTTCAACAGGCCAAATGTGATTAACCTTGTCCCCTTCTATATTGGAAGGCGAAAAGGGGGTGGGAGACTATTGGGAATGGGCAGGGATGTTGGTGTCAGATGGAATAAGGTTCAAGTATTTTTAATCTACTATAATAAGAAATTCCATAAGCCATTTGACCTAACAATATTTTTTGTAGTCGCACATGAAGAGTTCCAAGATAGACCCGAAATACGTTTATAATACAGGTTTATAATACTTGGGTTCTGTTCGACTTTAATTTAATTTTAGGCTAATTCTCCATTTCCTAATGGAGGCGAACTGAAATTATTTGTTATGGCACTTGTGAACTTGTGAATTATTCTATATATTTCTTACTGGTCGTGCCTTTCAGATCGTTGGAACTGTGAAAATAAAGAATGACAGTTGTCGATAAACAAACAGTTTGGCAGTTATTTGCATAGCTGCAAAAATTGAACTTCTCCTTTTGCTATAACTTTATATGGAAAATTGTGTATGTTATACCTGTCCCCAAAACAGCTGTTAGTTTAGACTACAAAGATCTCCGACCCATAAGTATTCTACCCACCATGTATAAGTTATTGGAACGCTTTTTGAACAAACAAATCAGGGAATATATAAGTAACTCTAATCTAATGCCTCTTTCAGTCGGGTTTTAGGCCTCTACATAGCTGTACAACAGCTTTGCTCAAAATAACGAATGACATATTGGCAGCAGCAGATACAGAAGATGTCACGTTATTGGTCTTACTGGACTACAGTAAAGCATTCGACTCATTGAATCCAGAAATACTTATATCTATGCTCAAATACATTGGCTTCTCTAAAACAGCCGTTAAGATGATGCAAGAATACTTCACAAATAGACATCAAATGGTGAAACTCGAAGGCGAACTATCTGAATCGGTGAGATTGATGCGCGGTGTTCCGCAAGGATCTATACTTGGGCCCTTGCTCTTTAGTTTATATACCTCAAATATACTGACTAAGATCAATCTCTGTAAGTATCATGCTTACGCTGATGATACCCAACTTTATGTATCGTTTAAACCAGAATTGCTGAATGAAGCTGTTGCTGACATCAATACTGAACTTCAAAACATTTATTATTCTTCTGTGAAACACGAACTGCAACTCAATCCTAATAAAACGCAGGTTCTTATGTTTGGTCCCAAGTTAATATGCCAAAGGTCTTTACCTCAAGTAAATATTTCTCTGAATGGTATAACTCTAAATATAGTAGCGGAGGCAACAAATCTTGGCTTGATATTGGATAATAATTTTAGGTTCAAAAAGCAAGTTTCATTCTTTAATATCCAGATAGCTTACGCGAACTTAAGATTAATTTACCCTCACCGAGCATACCTAAATACTCAGACAAATTTCAGACTCGTAACTGGCTATATGAAAAACAGCTATCGTGCAACTAAAGTCTCGCATAAAATGCAAAATTCAAGTCATTCTGTAAGCATTATGAATCGCCCCTCTATTATTCCTTTCATTTTTTCTCTCTCTCTTACTACATAGGTACTATAATTTTTTGTACATCATATGTTCGATGAATACTTTTAAGTTTTGTATATTGTAAAGGAGTTGAATGGAAGAGCAGGATTTAGCGTGTTGCACACGCTTGTCTCCTGAATTCCACTCCAGAATTTTACCAAACCCATTCAATTCTCCTTTATGTACTTTCTTTTTTACCTTGGTAAATAAAAGACATTATTATTATTATTACATACGTGATTGGAACGTAATACTGTAAAAAATTATGGTTGTAGTAATAAAGACGTTTATTATTATTATTAAACAAGAAAAATACTGCACAGTGAACTGTAATATATTATATTAATGTATTACAGAGTTTATTCCTATCTATAATTTCTACACATTCATTCTAAAAGAAAACTACTGGCGATTGGGTTCAATTTTTGGATTTAGGTCTCTTCCCCCGTGCCGCAAAAAATGGCGAATCGACATCTTCTGGGAATTCCCGCCTGTCCCTGTGCTTCGATTCCTTCTTACCCCTCGATACGAAAAACGGTTCTTCCGAGAATCGGTCGTCCTTTCTCACGAGGACATAGTATGGTTCTTCGGCGAAGAGAGATTCACGCATGTACGTCGGATCTTTTTTACCTCGGTTCGCCCAAAAAGGGCCGTTGTTTTCTTCCTGGACAGATCTTTTCGGTAGGCAGTTGCGGTCCGGGCATGGGACATCCTCGTCGTCGGTTTTGCTCAGTTGAAGTTCGTCGAGGGGGTAGAGAATTTGATTGAATATCCTCCGCCTGGGATCCTGCGCCTGAAATACAAATGCTGGTTTCGATAAAATGATTTTATACTCTGTTTCCTAAGAGTGAAAAGTAATAAATGCTCATTATGAATGTAAACCGCTGAGGGAGTACCCAAAAGAAATTTTGTGATTTCGTTATGATTTGCTACACCTGGTATACGTAGTCTCTTCAAAGAATGAGGTAAATGTTCAAATTTCCCGGGCTACGTACATTTCATTAGCGATTTTTATTTTTTTTATGTTGGTACACTTGTCTCGAACATATATTCACAGTTTTAGCTGTTTGGCATGTTTAGTTTATTGGTGAGAAGCATAAAAGTTACAAGTGGTTTGCGAGTTCGGCGATTTTCTGCTATCTAAAAAAGGAATCAAAGAGTTTGCACCAAAATTTTGTATTCAGCGCTCAGAAATACTTGAAATGTTGACAGTAGCATACGGTGATTGTACTCTTGAGTCAGAAAATTGCTTGCAAGTTTTACAGAGTGGGCCCAATTGTACACTTTCAAAGGGAAACTCCTGTTATCAAACTAGACAAATGAAAACTCATGGCTGTGTCTGAGGGTCAAATTTTATGACAAACTCAATAGTGAAAACCACATATCGATATCTATCATCGTTTTTTGAGTTACAGCATGTTAATTGAAAATGTGCTTTTTCGAAAAGTTGCTGTAACTTTTTTGCTGACAAAAATTTCTTGTTTGTTTGAAGGTGATTGACAATGTTTCATGATGAATTTCACTAGTTCGGACTTTCATTTTCTGATATTATATAAAGTGATTTGAAATCCCTGAAAGAATTTAAAAAAAAGAAAAGATTAGCTTAAAAATAACAATAATATCAAGCAAAAAAAACTGAGATTACAGTGAAATAAAATACAAGCAACAATTAAAAATTGAACTATTAACAAGAAAGGAAAATTAAAAATTAA